GAGGCTGCATTTGGAAAATGTTCACAATAAATCATCTTAAGGAGAAAGTAAATGGTGCATAGATGCACATGATTATTCAATTTCGTAGTTCATAGCCACTGATTTGTTAATAAATCCCGAGAGATCTTCATCTCCCGCAGTTGTTCCTGGAAGCTTTTGGATAAAGTGATGTTTCTTCTGAGTTAATGGCTGCCTTTTAGAAAAAAAAAGAGAATGACTCTTCTCTGCAGTTAAGCGACCAGAGTCTGTTCAATTAAAAAGAAATTTCACTGAATGCTAATTATTGTGGTCCGACTTGCAGAATGCATTACTAAAACGAACAGGAAATGCAGATAAGCAAATCAGATTCTGCAGCCATTACATTCCAGCCCTCCCAAATATTTCCACTCTTCGGCTGTTTATTTCCTGCCGTGTTGTTTCCTGTTTCTAATAGTCCAATCAATCCCATTTGTGGTAACCCGAAGAGGACTTTTCGCCTAGCACACAATCAAGATCCAGCTTGAGGTGACGAAAGAAAAAACGCAGTGTGTAAGAACATGTCGTTCCACATATTTGATGGCATTATTCTTAATCACTGGGAGAAAGTCTCCCCCCAAACAAGCCTCCTCTCCAGCATGCACGACCGCTGAAACCACATCCTGGTGTGTTTCAACAAAACGCTAACCTGGTGACAGCTCATGAAATGTTTCGCGGCGTCACACACTGCTCGGGCGTGTTTGGTGTGTGTTTCCTAAACCCCAGCAGTGTCGTCTATCAGCGAGCGCGGCGGGAGGAAAGTCGGATGGGAGGTGAAATAAGGTGAACCGCGAACCTGGAGGAGCAGAGACGTGCCGTGCAAAAGCGGTGGGGCTGCATCTCTGAAGCATGCGAGACGCCGTGCATTTTGAAAAAAGCAATAAAGGAAAGGAGGTCAGCGGTGTGTCTGCTCACAGGTGGGGGAGTGTGAGGATCTTGAGAAGAAAACCAGGCCGCTCAGATGCAGGAAAAAGTCACAAGGACGATTTCTTTGGAAGAAAAATGTGATTCCTTGCTACCAAACATATGTAAACCTATATGCTTTGTAAATCTAACACCAAACTCTGTCCGATTCGCTCCCCTACTGTTCAAATGTCTCTGCATAATGTTGGAGAATCCCTCCAACACACACCATCAAAATTGAACACATAGCCTGCTGTATAATCCATTCCTCCCGAGCTCCCACTCTGTGATTTGAAGCGATTACTTAAGCAGAGCAACCTCTCCGAGTAGGTCTTCACCCACGCATATTCACAGTAAGTAAATCCGTCAAACACATTCATCATGGGAAGCCTGATGTTGTGTTTGGGATGTCCGACACGCTGAGAATTAGGCTTTACAAGACATAAAGTTTCCTTCCAAGGATTTTTATTTCTGGTTTAAATGAAACGTTAAATTGGTTGCCGTGAAAGGGAAACAGAATGTTTTCCACTTTTCCCTGTGAAAACATTTGCAAAATTGCTTTAGTTCTGCCTACCGCAGTGGTAAGAAATCTACTCATTTCAAACATCAGAGTGGCACTTAGTAACATATAGTGCCATTTCCCATAAGTTGGCACACTTGGTAAAATCTTTTTTTTTTTAAACAGAATTGAAAAATTCATTTTCAATACATTTTCTCTCAGATTAAAATGTTATCACTGACACAATGCAAAAAAACAATAAAATATAGAATGTAAGATTGGACCTTTGACAGAGGAGGGTTGGCCCATTTTATGTGATTAGGGATTCTCACTGTTAAACAGTTTTCTGTCTTCTTTTGCTGTATTTTAATGCACCAACAGCAGAAAAGTTGCTTTTTATGTAAAAATCGGTGTTATCCTCCAGCCCAAAGATCACAGAGATTCAACATTTATAGTCAGCCCACAGAGGTGTCTCCAGATTCTCTGAGTCTCTTTGCAGCTTTACTTCTTTGCTTCGCAAAGTGTTTCTTTTTCAGCTCAACTCTGTTACTGACCTGTTGCACATTCATCTCATTAGTTGCATCATGTTCCTCCAGCTGTTTCTTTTTAGAACCACTTACTTTGCCTGATATATTTTCGGTAAGAAAAATACAGAATTCTGTTTTTGTTTACAAATCATACAGCATTCCGGATTTTTTCACTTTTGGGGGTTATGCCACACATGAATCTTCATTAAAACACTGAGGTTTATTCATTTCACCGCTCACTCTTATTGATGGAAGTGTTCCTGCAATCACACTAAATGAGAAGTTTAAGGCAAAGGCCTCATCAAGAGATCAGACTTCTTCCTGTGAACTCACGAGGGGATGAGCCTCCCGGTCACCACAGGTCACTGAAGAGGTGACCTCGTCTCTGATAACCAGTAACAGACGGGCCTGAGCAGGAAGACACGGCGGGGGCACAGGAAACGTCGTGGGCTGGAGAGCGGTTGGAGAAAGTGTTCCCTTTGACCACGGTGAGGTCTTTGTTTGGTTTTTTGGAGGCCTCTCCGACAACCCTGCTGTGTCGCGGTGTTTTTGTTTAGGTTTTCCCTCCCCGCCGCAGATGAAGATATCAGGTTGACAAGGAGAGATAAAAACATGAAAAGGAATCGTTCCCCAGGACGAGCTGCTTCTGTTTTTTTTGTTGTTTTCTTTTGGGAAGCAAATGATCCAGATAGAAGCTTGTTTAGCTGACAGGCAGCTGAATGTGGAATTTAATGTCATTCACCGTGGGATTTTTTTTCCAAAGGGGAAAACAGTGTTAGAATCTTTGTTGATCTAATTCTCCGCTACAGTTCGGGCCAGAGCTATTGGCTGGAGTTTGGGAGGGCTGGTTAGGACTGTGGAAAAAACATGCAGAGCATCAGGCAGACCTCAAGTACTGTGGACAAGCACCAGGGCGGAGGCCTAAAACACCCCAGCTACTCGAAGAGAGAAACAAAAAAGGCAATATTCGTGTTAGCAAAACATTTATACCTAACAAAACCGTTCTGGGTGAGGAAACTTAACTTAACACAAGATATACAGAGGTCCTGTAGCCTAACAACATGATGTTTGCCATCTGAATATTTACTCGTTAACACACATTTTAAGCTGCCACATTGGCGTAAACTGTGTGTTTAAGCCGATGGGGCAGCAGGTGCTTCCTTCAATCTTTGGGAGAGAAGTGAGTCAGTTTACAAGCAGTTAAATATAGAGGAGGTTCTGCTGTGTTGTGGGTCCGATCCACTGCCTCCACTAATAAACATGTAAACTCATGTATTCTGTTGGTTGTTCCATGTTTGTTTTTGGTCTTTGCGAGATCTGCAAATCATCACAGTTTAAATATCGTGTTATTCAATATTTGATTACCTTACAAAATCATTAAATGATGGAAAATTTGGTTTCTGGTGATTATTCGCCTTTTGATATTAAGTCTTGACAAAGATTGTGATAAGACTTGCCGCACAAACTGAATCATCTTTTAAACCAGTGGGCAGCAAGCTCCTCCTGGCTGGAAATGGCAGGCTCTGGGTGAGTTCAGAACGGGGTTAACTGTTTAGACCGATTAGACATTAAAAAAACATCCCCACTAACTCACTGTGTTGCTCAGTGTGTAATAAAACCTCAGAAACATATTGCATTTCATGTTAAGGATTACTTCTTCTTAACTATTCACAGGAGAAGCATTTCTGAATGAGTCAAGCAGTGTTCAGGCTTTAAATGAACTTTCCCACTGAGCATAACATACAAGACTTTAATGGATGTTCATTGGGCTCTCCTGGCATCCATGGGACATTACAACCATATAACTGATTTTATCAAACACTCTGCCATTGATGCTTTCCTTTGGTCTTCATCTTTCATTTTCCTCTGAGTCACAAGATTCAACCTGGATTATTATTACCTTGCTGTGGAGGAAATGAAGACATCTCTCAGAGGGAGGCAGTTGCAGACAACGTGCATGCATCTGTTCTGTTAGCAAATGTTACAAGTAGATCTGACGCAATAATGAAAACAATTTTTTCTATTTTCTTCTACTTTTTATGGCACAAAGAATGTGGCATCATTAGAAAAAAAAAAGCAGGGTAAATTGCAATGATGAAATATGACAAACATGTGCGTCTTGAGATTTTATTGTGGACATTTTGCATTGAGGTTTAATTAAATTGAACGATTTATCGCCTTGTAAAAAAAAAATACATAAAGTTAAAAAACATTTTTAAAAAACTGTTACAGCTGGTACATTCACAATGGCCAATATTTGTCCTGTCAACAAAAGCCGTGGTCAGATTGAGCAAGACTCCTCTGAGGGGGGGCGGGGCGCGAGGCTGAGAGCTCGGCTCTGATTGGTCCGTGGCGGTGGGTGTTTCCGCATTCCTCACCGACCTGAGCGCAGGAGCGCAACTTGCGGAAGTTTTCCTGGCGTCTGCAGGGAGAGAGACACCCGTTTAAATCATTCCCAGGGGGGTGAGAGGAACGGGACCAGGGATGCCGTACCTGCTCATCAGCACGCAGATCCGTCTGGTGCGTATGTCACGCGCGTAAATGAGATCGTTTTTGGAAGCGAAGGCGCGTTCACGTTGCACGTTCTGGGAGTTGTTCATTTGAACGCGCAAGAGAGGTTTAATTAATAATCGATTAAGATTAGGAGTTGGAAATGACAGTTATGCGATGGCATATAAGACTGCATGCAGGGGGAAAAAACACAAACACAGGCTGCAGATTTCCTGTCTTTTTTTTTTTTTTCCTGTGCCACTGTGACCTTAATTAAAAACACATGCAGCCCGATCTTCAGCAGGTTTTTGGTGAGCCCGTTCATAGAATGCACGATCCCAGCACGCCGGGTTCTTGAGCCTCTAAGAAGTGGATCGTCTATTTTTAGTCTGTTGTTCACATATTAAGAGATTATGATCCGCACCTGTCCGAGGGCTGCAGGTGTTCCTGTGAAATGAAGGCAGAGCTGCCCAAAAGACGGGCAGAAACGGCTGTTTTTTGCACAAATGAATTGGATTTAAAAGCAAACCATGTGCTGTGTGTAACGCTGTGCTTCACTGTTGCATTTGCAGGAGACTGGGCCAACGAATGTGGGAGATGAATGTTCAGATCCAACTATAATGAATTACCTGGGAGCCAGAAAAACGACCGTGCTGGGAAACAATTTGTAAGTACTGAATGGGAGCAGCCAGTTAATGTAGCAACTACAATTTGGACAATGCCGGATTAATAAAAGTCATTTTTTCCAATTTGGTTAGTTTTGTGGATCTATTTTCTCTAATATTCTCTAATGGTGTGGTCTAAGCACACAGACTGATCCAGGTGTGAAGCTAATGCTCACACAGGCTCATATTCCCCTACTTAATGCTGGTGTTTATTTAATTTAGGCATTGAACATGTACATGTACTAGTCACATGTAGGGGAGAACGCTGCAGTGGGGGAAGGCTTCTGCTCAGCACATTTCAAATAAACCATTCAAAGTGATGGAACACAGATCAGGGAAGTGTTGTCATTGGCAATCTGATTCAAGTGCTGCTGGGAAATGGACCAAGGTGTGGAAGGAAGTGAACGAGCACAGGAACAATTAGCAGTCTAACACTTTTCGAGCAAAGTTTACACAAAAACGAAGAGATCCCACGTCTGCCCAAAGCAGAATTGCTTTTGTTTATGCTTGTTTCAGTTCCGAATACCATGTGGACGACCCACCTCGCCTGGTGCTGGACAAGCTGGAGAAGATCGGCTTCCGCGTGCTGTCCATGACGGGCGTGGGCCAGACGCTGGTGTGGTGTCTCCACAAAGAGACGGAGTGACCGGTGGAAACGGCCTCAAAATGCCTCCAGAATCCTTCAAATGATGACCGAAGAATGCTTGAGAGCTCTGTAATCTGTCTTTTCTTTTTGAAGGAGTTCACTTTTTTAAAGTTTCCCTTTCTCTTCCAGATCACCTTGAGCAGATGATGGTTAAATATATTCAAGGGAATAATGAAACAGGATTCTTGAGATTTTATAAGACCCTTTTTTCAGTTTAGCTGTTGTTCTCTGCTGGTGTATAGGGAGTGGAATTAGGCCATAGGCTGAAGCTCAAAATGTGGCTAGAAATAGGATTTCGCTCCACTATCCTGGGGACTACTTTTCGATAGCACTTTTCCAATCTTGAATATGTACTGGAGCTGGGAAAGAAAGTTCTCCATGGGATTCCTGCCAGTATTTGAGAAAATGGGTGCCAAAGGTGGCAGTTTACCCAAAAAAGTGACGATTTTGGGTCTTCTACCATTTTCAAACCCTTGTAACTTTTTTATTATTAAGCCGATCGTACTCAAATTTTTAATTCCCACAGACATTCATACTTACTCTGAGCTTCTAAAGCGGCAATGTTCTGCGTGCTTTAAGTACGGAGTTATTCTAAATGAAAACATACACTTTTGAACAACTTCACAATCTCCAAAAATGTATCTTTATTGCACATGAAAATTGCAATTCTTTTAATTTTCAATTGAAAAATTCTAATTGCAAGATATCCCTTTGTGTCTTGTTAACTAATAACTATGAAAAGTGGTGTAAATTTTATCACCTAGCAAACCAGTTACAATATAGGCCATAGGCTGAAGCTCAAAATGTGGCTAGAAATAGGATTTCGCTCCACTAACCTGGGGACTACTTTTGATAGCACTTTTCCAATCTTGAATATGTACTGGAGCTGGGAAAAAAAGTTCTCCATGGGATTCCTGCCAGTATTTGAGAAAATGGGTGCCAAAGTGGCAGTTTACCCAAAAAAGTGACGATTTTGGGTCTTCTACCATTTTCAAACCCTCGTAACTTTTTTATTATTAATGCGATTGTACTCAAATTTTTGATTCCCACAGACATTCATACTTACTCAGAGCTTCTAAAGCGGCAATGTTCTGCGTGCTTTATGTAAGAAGTTATTCTAAATTAAAACATACACTTTTTAACAATTTCACAATTTCCCAAAATATATATTTATTGCACATGAAAACTGCAATTCTTTGAATTTTAAATTGAAAAACTCTAATAGAAAGATATCCCTTGTGTCTGGTTAATTAAAAACTATTTAAAGTGGTGTGAATTTTATCACCTAGCAGACCAGTTACAATATTGGAAGCAAAATTTTCGGAAATAACTATAAAAACTAGAAGAATCTTCAAGTAAATTTATACTGTTTATTCAATGGATCTGATATCAACTTAAGCAATCATGGAATTAATGAACAAATAATAACAAAAATAATAGTAACAACCCCCCCCCACCACCACCACCACCACTCCATTCCCACACCAACAAGAGTTACTTCTTCTGTTTGTTGCAACATTTATGAATATTTACAGAGAGAATTAATCATCTTCAGAAAAACTGAAAGAGAATAAGAAGCCTACATATAATTTTTCAATTACTTTTGAACAATTCTACCAAGCACTAAGCATGCCAAAGTTGATATCTCCCAAATTTTATACATGTACATATATAATTATAAAGACCGATTCTAACCATTTATAAATCTCCACTCAGTAACTATTGACAAATGGCAATAGCAATGATAACATGATTTTGAAAAGGGGTAAAGTTTTCAGATGCCTCATAACAATAGGAAGAATAATAATCATAATTATTGATTATTTATGAGAACAATGGAAAGTATTAATATCACAACATTAAAAAATGAACTCTTATTTATAAGTTTCGAGATTGTTTTTTTTTACATTTACTACAAACTTCAGTTAACTATGGACAAATATTCAAATTGGTTTTCAGAAATGAAAAGGTTTCAATCAGCTAACCCGTGGGTTGTGAATTCACTCCTCTGAGGCAAGACTTAATATGGAAATGTACAGGGAATTAAAGAAGGCACAAAGACATTTCTGTTTTTAAACAATTACTTTTGTTGGACCCAGCAAGCCTTGAGATGTTAAACTTTTTAGGATCACTTCGGGTTGTTACGACTTGAGAATTACAATAGAAAATACAAAGAAACTATGAATCATCAAAATCATAGGAGGGATAGGAGTCTCCTCCTATCACTTCCTGCAGGTGTTCCTAGAGCTGTGGGGTCTGGATCTGTGATTGGGAGTTTCCTGCTGCTCTGTGTTCCTGCTCTGCTACTACTCTGCATAGTATTATTTCTGTCATAACTCCTATCATTATCATTAGTATCACTATACATAAAATTTAATTGAATTGAACTTTCGTTGTAGAACCGTTTGTGCTACCGGACTTCAATTGCGACACAATCTTTTCCACGTACATCCTTGAGGATGGATTTGTCCATTTTCACTTCAGCTGCTTTAACCAAACTCCCTAGCAAATAGAGAGTTAAAGTTCAATCATAAACCAGCTGCCAACAAATAATATCAAATACATTTTTTTTCTGTTTTACCAGACTGAACTGGTAGTTGGGTGACAAATTTAAAAATCTAACCATTATTTGACGAATCAATTAATTGCCTATCATCACTTCAAGTTCATAATAATGCCTTTTATTATTATTGAGGCCCTACACATAGCCTTCATACCCCTACTTCATAATGATGTGAGCAGGCTAGCGCTGGCAACAATTACACATGCATTTTTCTTATCAACAAATGTATTACTTTAGCTTTTGATTATAAGCCACAAACAAAGATGTTGTCTGCAAATTATCTAATCACCAGTATTTATAGTTTCTGCTTGGACCAATTTACCTTTCTTTGCCTTGTGTCCCTCCGCCAACGTGCGGTCAATTCCGTCAATACACTTACGGGCAAATACGACCAGCTTCTTCCACGAACAACTGTTAGTGGCTGTGTCCGTTCTTTGTCTACCGATTATATGTGTGTGATGCACATATAATCCTCATTTTTCTTGCGTTTTTTGTCTGATCAACGGAAACGCGCAGCTCCATGGGAGCATCCATGTTTGTTGTTGTTCTTCTGTTCTCGCCTCTGAATGGGAGAGCGCACCTGAAGGACGCGCTCTGATTGGCTAACGGCTAGGCGGCTTGATTCGACCGTATTTTACCGGTGTGATCAGGCTACCGATATAGTTACATTTTTAAGTAATTATTGGAAAAATACTGGCGCAAAGCGATTGGAGAACTTTTGGTTATGAGCTCAAAATGCACTAAGGATTTTTTTGCAGGTGTCATTTAGTAGTCCCTCAATAAGTGGAGCGAAACTTAACGATACAGGCTTCAGCCTATGGCCTAAATGGTTTTACTGTTTATATGACGTCATATGGCCTCAACAACTTCTGCCTCTCATGTAACTCTTTGTTGTGTTTGTACTCACAGCAATGTTTAAGTGTACTTTGTATCATGTTTATGATTTAGAAATGTAGATTATGTCTGTACATATTAAAAGATTCTTTATATATAAAAAACAAAAATCGGACTAAATTGAACACACATGGGCCATCTTATCATCTGCTCAAATGTAATGGTCTTAAACTACGGCCGCCTAAAACCGGGCTGGATGGCAGCTAACAAGGATGCCTCGATCGGGCCATAACGTCGTAGGCACAGGGAGGGCTGGAGAGGCTAAAAACTCTGGGTCGCTAACCCACAGCCCAGAAACACTGCCAGCTAGCTCTGGTCAAACTCTCACATGACACGTCTTTTACCTCTGCGCTAAAGATCAAATGAAGACCGTGCCTCCAAATTCTGCCCTTATGCATATTCTGGTGTAGTTTGCAAAAGCCAACACCATCCCATGAAGAATCCCCCCCCCTGATGTGACAGCAGGCTCATCCTCCAAAGCTGGTTTGCATGCAGCGCAGGCCTCTCTGGGCTTAGGGCAGGGTTGGTGGTGAGTGTGTTTCCTGTAATTGTATTTCCTCTGTTGTCATTTTGGACAGAGTTTGTGTGTTCCTGGGCTTTTTTTTTTTCTTTTTTTTTTTTTTTTCACATTGCTGGGATATTGGAAAAGGATACGCATAAACAAAACCATGAGATGAGGGGATTTTGCAGGAGGAGAGGAGCAGATGTCTCCCACCACACCGCTCTGTTCCGCTCCACAGCTGGACATTGTGTAACCGAGCCACGGAGAGGCAGCGCCGGAGTGCCAGGGGAGTGGATGACGGGACCGGAGTCCATGTGGCTCCTAAATAACACCGTGACAGGAGAAAGGGCAATCCACACGGACACGCAATCACAGCAAAGCATTAAGGAAAACAAACTCTCCGGAGGGATAGGTGTTTCGCAGACAGAGGCCTCGCGGTGACCACAACTGTTTGGCCTGACTTGATGTGTGTCAAAGAACAGTAGCGTGCCACTTCACAGAGCATAAATAAGTCACGCAGTCTGCCAAGTCTTCCAAATATGTTGCGTAACAATCTTGTGAAACAGTTTGGAACACAATATTTCAAAGCATGCTGTTCAATTTAAACGGCTCCACGTCCTGTGACATAATCCAAAGAGACCAAGGGTAGGGTCAAAACTTTGAATGGAAACACTGATCTGAACAAATACAAACGACCATTCAGAATTGTGATTTATTTCTTCCAATGACTAAAAATTAAAGGCTCATGTTCATCCGTCTGACACTATGGACTCCTACCACAATAGAGATGAATGGAAAAGAATGGAAAAATAATCATTTTTGCTAAGAATCGGGTGAGGAATTTTTAAGAAAAAAAAGTGTTGTGTCATCATTCTCTTTCAGCGTGACACTTCCCATCCAGATGTAACCCAATGTAGATTTTCTTAGAGTACAATACATGAGCAGATATTGTCAATACCTTGTAGTAAAAGGAAGATGCTCCCAAAATAATAATTATGCTGAAAAAAGTTTATATTTAGTCATCTGTTTTGTTCTATCTAA